TTTTTTAAGGAAAGAAGACATTTCTTTGTGAACATTAATTTCTCTATTAACTGACCTTAAGATTCCACAAACATTCAAACATTTTTGGTCAACACTGGTAATAAGCCAATGACCAATTAAAAATTAGAAGTGAATACTCCTTCAGAATTATAAAAGCATCTTATTGCATGCTCTCTTACAAATTCAAGTTCACAAAACTAGTCTTTAGCAGTCCCTAGCTGCTAAATAATCAAACAAGGATCAGCTTAGCATACTAGTTGACATAATGAACTTACCTCTTGGAGTGTTAAAATATTTGATGATTATAAAATCTTAAAAAACAACCTATATATGGATCCTAGTCTAAACCAATACAATAATTTAAAAATATAAAAGTAATAGACGTTCTAACTTTTCTTACATGAAACAAGCCTACAGTTTACTTCATGAGCTGAAGTTCCCAGGGGAGAAAGAAAGAGAGGTGCCTGTGGTTAGGCTAAAGATTCTAAAAGGCTAATTGACAAGAATTCAGTGATTATGGCAACCTGGAATTCTGCAGTTCCTAAACTACCTTGGGATATTTTTAGCCCTACTTAATAACTATTTAGTACACACCTGTTTGACTTATCATCCTTTATCATTTATCAGGTAACCCTTTGTGGAATGTGGTTTTTATATTAACAGCTCCTCCTGCTACAGAGAACAAATTCTAGAGCAGTGCTTAGTGAATCCTCATATGCATAAGAGCCAGCTGAGCTTACTTCAAACATTCAGATTCAGATTTGAAAAATTTCAGTAAAAGCAAGAGCAGACATTTCGAACAAGCACTGTGGTGATGCCAGAAATACTCTGGCACATTTTCATAGCAAGGTTCTAAAAGCTATTATTACAATACTCAAAATCCACCACCACCACCTCCACCACCATCACCACCACCACCCCAGTGTTTTGCAAAGCACTGGTGTTAATGATGTTTCCAATTAAATTCTTAACTTACAAACCTAACACTTTTCCATCTTTCTATTACTTGATCTATCACATGCTGTTTAATTTTTAAAGGTTGATTTATGTGTGTTTGTGAGTGTTATCTGTACATGGTGGTATGCATACCTGTGTGTGCACAAAGGCTGTAAGAGGGCATCAGATCACTGAGCTGGAGTTACAAGTGTTTGCAAGAGCCCCAGCTAGTTAAACGGGTGTTAGGATCCAAACTCCAGGCCTCACGACTGCACAGCAAGTGTTTTTAACCACTGAGCCATCTCACCTGCTAGCTATGTTATCTTTTTATCACTCCATTACTATTAAAATCTAGGAAATATATCCTAGCCGCCTTCCTTTTGGGGTCTCTTCCCAAATTCTCACACTTACATGCGACACATTACACCTTTAGCTTCACCTCTTCTCCATTCCACTGCCACCTCTAGTTTACCTACATGTTAATTAATCCAAAACCTGCATTTCTCAACCTGAGACCCACATATTCGGCCACTAAGAAATCTTTCTACCAGCCAAACTCTGTTGGCTTGGTTTGGAATTGTTTCATGCCTAGCTGTGAGTGCCTTTTAGTCTGGAAAGTTAGCTTGTCTCATCATACCCACAGCTAGGACACACACTCTGTAATTACGAATTGTCCTTGTTTTCCTGAGCTAAACACAAACATCTTTGGTCACTAGTTTGTGAGTGTTGGGTTGTTTCCACTGTGAGGTTCTCATAATGTTAAAAATAACTCATGTTAGAAACCCTTTCCACATGAAAGGTTTATAGTTGAGACATTACATATATTTTACTACTTATAATAAAAATCATGTCTACAAAAAAAGAGAAATCTTTCACAAATGTACACAAAATATCTCCAACAGCGAGGGCCAGTAGCTCCATAGAACAGCACTTGTCCAGCACACACAAAGTCCTGGTTTCAGTCTCTAGTACTAAAGACAGGGTGAGAGTAAGAAGCACATCAAAAATATCTCTTAAACACCACAGCACCCCTACACCAGACACCAGCCTTTCAACCCTGCATTAACTTTCCTTTATCCCCATCATTTTCCTATTTTAAGTCACATCTTAAAACTTGCCCTCTTTCACTAAACCCAGTTAGCTTCCACTTAAGAATTTCTCAAATCTCATTATTTTCTCAAAAACTGGTATCAATTTAGACATGGAACTTTTCTGATCCAGTTACTATAGTAATCTAATCAGTTTTCTTTCTTTCAAACTCATTTCATCATCTACCTTACCCTTTATTTTTTTAGAAGTATAGTTTGTTGGCACTGCTGCTAAGAGTCACTAGTAATCCCCCATAAACTTTAAAAAAAAGTTTTTAGCATGCCACATAACGCTCTTCACACTCCTGACTATCGCCCTCAGTGTTTTTATTCTCTCCCCCTTTTCTTACTCTAACCAATCTTAAGAATCAGAATGCCCCTTTGCTTCACCAAGCTATTTGCAGCTCCCTGAATGTGGCACATTCTCAGGACTGTATTTGCACAAACAAAATTCCTTTTGTTAAACAATGACCATACGTACGGAGTTAAGTACTGATCTGCTTTGAAGATTCTCCTATATATAACATGCCTTAAAATGCCTTCTAATCAGCAAACCCTGTTCCCTCAATCACAGGCTTTTCCTGGGCACACCTCTGTTCTTCTTTAACGGTTTTATAATTGCCACTTTACTCACCTCCCTACTAGGCTAAATTCATCAGTTAGTCCTTTTTAAGAACTGAGTGTCCAGAACCCATTAGATGCTCAATAAAAGCTAAAACCTATCTTGAAATACAGTTATAAACAATTATTACGGCTACATTTTCAAACTATAAAGAAAACAATTTTTAAAAGCCCACAATTTTTACTTGATTACAAAACAGATTTCCAAAATATCCCACATGTTCACTGAATTCCCAGCATCTAAGCATATTTGTTTAAAAAAATGAAATAAAATCAAAGCTTCTCCTACTTTGCACTGAGATACAACTTTAGCTTTATAACCACAATGTTAGACGAAGTACTCTCATTCCCAATGGTCACAGTGAGGGGTCAGATGGCCTCAGTTTCCATCCTGACTCTTCTCCTTACTAATGGTCTGACTCTGGGTAACAAATTAGAAGTTTCTTCAATGGACAGCAGGGATAGATTGCTTACGTACCTCCTGATTGTTTCAAATATTCTGATCTGAATGTACAAACACTTCTACAAGCCATGAACAAACGGGAACTAATGTGCTAGCATCCATCTCCACATCCATCAAAGATTCACAAACTTCAAGATTTACAAATTTCAAGTTTCCTGTACAAGTCCTTGAACCACAAGAGCAACAAGACCCACAGTCTTCTATCCTCTTATGTGGCTAAAACAGCAATATCTAATTCCATAATAATCTAATATATTCTTTAAGAATACTTATTTTATAAACCACAAAGTAAATCTCATGGTAAGTTGTTGGTACAGTCATTTAAATATCAGCTCCACTTAAAAAATTAATTGGAGGACAAAAATCAGCAGGGAATACCATTTTGAGATGTTTCATTTTTAGTCTGAATACTGTCAACATGCAAACTCAACCTATAGACTAATATAAAAGTTTAAAAAAAATCACCTTTACAAAACTGTATCTCCCCCCAAATTTCTGGCTTATTTTTTAGATGTGCTTGCTGGTCTGTCAGAATAGAAAATTCATTTCATCTCTCTAATCTCTCTAATCATCTAATCTAAAAAAGTGAAGGAACAGGTGAACTCCGCTCTCAGCAGTACCTTTATTTGTGCTATGGAGTAGATTAGAACTGTTTATTTCTTTTTCAGTATTTATAAAAGTAGGATTCTCTAACTTTCAAAGGGCAAAACTCCTTTAAAAAGAAAAAGAAAGGAAAATCTACTACAAAAGTCAGTACTTTGGTACCTGATTGCGGTAACAAGGCCAAACTCCAAGACGAAGCCCTTTACTGCACATGGAGTTCCAACATCTTGGGCAGACTCATCTTGCGACCTCTCCAGATTAGCTGCTCCTGCTCTCTCTACTGCAGAGAGAACTTCAATTAGAGAAATTCTGAAGCCCATGAATCTAAATTGGATACTCCCCTCATTGGAGGCAAGGATGGTAAAGACTCACTAAAAAATTCAAGTTAAGGACGGGTCAAGTAAGTCTTAGTGGCTTGAATCCACTATAATGTAAGCAGCTGAGAGTCGGATTTTTATAACCTTATTTACATTAAAAAAGGTTAAGGGAAAAGAAAGGCTGTAAAACCTAAAAATGCAGACTATATAAATCTTTAAAAAGTGATAGTCGCCACTAAATTTGAATCACAGTTCTACAATTTAAACCTAGTGCTGCCCATTCATATTCAGTCTTTCTGAGAAAAGCAAGCAAAAAAAAAAAAGATTTTTAAAACGTTCAGATTCATTTCTGTTCTTTTTAATGCTCTACAGTAACTCCACTGAAAGGAATGCTTGGCTAAAAAGTGGTTAGAAAGGAGCGTTTCCCTGCTGACTTAAGCCTAACTGCCCAAGCAAGGCTTCAGAAAATGTCTTTACCTACAACAGTGCAAGGCAGAGGGAGCAGAGGCAATGGCGGTCTCTCCAGTGACATTCCCAAGGCACATAAATGGGGTGTATTTCTGGGACAGACTGCCAACAAGTTACTAAAAGAACTTAAGCAAAATCTGGTAAATAAATAAACCAACACTGATGTGTTCTACTCCGGTATCAGAGTTTTAACTAATTTTACCCTGAGGCTATTATGTCTAAATCATATACTCTACGCTAGCATTGCCTGAATGTAAAGCCCGGATTCGTTTTCAAGCTGATTTCCATAAACTCACAATGATGTCTAAAGCATTTCGTCAAGCAAATAGCACACCCCACAGCAAAGATCTTAGCAATCAGGAATTACAATCTGAAAATCAAGACAGTCTACAGTACTTTATTACCTGGGATTTTTATGTGTGCAGGTGTGTTGCACAATACAATGAAGTCAATACTGCTGTGAAACTGTATTTACTATCCAATTAAATAATAATTTTACCTTACCTGAGTGTGAAAATTTGAAATGGTGGTTGTTTCAATATCTTTCTTGCCCAAAATTTCCATTTTCACTGGAGTGTTGGGGAAATTAAAAGCAAAGTAGTCCAAGAAGTCTGGGAGATAAGCAGCCGCTCCATGCACTATTGCTAAAGCATAGCAGGCAGCATTTTTCTCATTTTCACTGAATGTCAAAGCAAGAAACTCCTCAGAAAATCTCTCCATCTCCATTGGAGACAAAAATGAGAGTTCGTCCATGTATGCATGAAGGACAAGAGCACCACCATTGGACTGGTGTTCTTCGTGAATAAAGTTGCTAAATTTAGTACCTGTTTTTAAGAAATTTCTGCGAATAGAATGTTCCTGGTGCGTTGTAAAAGGTGTCTGTACTCCCTGGGGCACCCGATATTCTTGCATGCCCAAATTTAATCTGCACAGCTGTTCATCCTTCAGATACCTGAAGGACTCCTTATTAAGTCCTGAAGTGCTATTTAGCTGTCCTTGGGGGAGACTCTCTCTGCTGATGCGGGTCAAGCCGGCACAGACGGTTTGCACTTCCTTATTGTACATTTTAAGGCGCCTTCCTCGCATGTCTTCTCGATGTTTCTTTTTCTTTTTCTTCTTTATTTTCTTCAAGACAAAATCATCAGCTCTCTGGGTTTTACCATTTTCATCTGCTGTTTCTGGCCACAATAATTAAAAATAAGTTAGTTGCTAGGACCAGTGTCAATATACATGTGTCTTAAGGTACTTATCTAAAATTAAATACCCTCTCCTTAATTTCTGAGAATTTGTTATTACATCTTTTATCATTAGAAACAAAAGTGAGACAAAGATCTTAAAATACAGTAACATTCTGGGTCAAATGTTATACTTAAAAAAAAAATAACGAGTTACTGGTGGAACTACCTACAGTTAAGTGTATGTACAATGCCATGGATTCAATCCCCAGCAACACACACACACACACACACACACACACACACACACACACACACACACAC